TACAAACTTTTTAAATGTTTGGAGTCAATTCGTAGCTAACATAATACCTTCTCTGCGTAAGCCCGTAAGTTAATGAGGAAAATGTCAACAATGACGTCAGCAACCAACGCTCTATTTATCTTACTGCTAAGTGACGAAAAAAGATGCAGTATACATTTATTAATAAAATAACAATACTGACAAAAGTTCAGTTGAGGCCAGAAACTACTGTTAAAAGTGATGTTTAAAATTCTTAAAAATCCAAACATTTTTAAGGATTTTTTAAAAACATGAATTTTAACAGTAGTTTCAGGCCTCACTGTATTTTTGAAAATGAAAATGCTACTGAAGGACAAAAAGATTATTATTTATAGAATAATACGTTTAATAGTGCAGTTCAATGTAACGTAAAGTTTAAAACGTGTTGCCTATTTAATGTAAGTGTGGCAATTTTGTAGAGCAAGTTTTACTACTGTAAGTAGCAAAAGGTAACTGTTTTTTAAGTGATATATTGTCGTGGCGTGCTAATTAGCCTAAAAGAATACTTATTTGGTAGTGTTCTGAAACAGAAGCATATCACCTAGATAGGTGATATGCTTCTGTCTGAAATTGTAAGTGTTTGAAGCAGTATGTAGTAAAATAAGTAAATTGTGTGCTTTTATATTGTACCGGTACTTCAGGCAATCAATTATTAAAAAAAAAGAAAATAGTATAAACACTAATTATATACATGAAAAAATTACTCCATTCTGACTGGCTGCGAGCAGTGCAATGCAAGTGTAACAACAGTGCAAAATGTATAACACCAGTGCAAATTCTGGATTCTGATTATGATTGGCTGAAGGACAACAGGAAATTTTCTAAGCCAATGACATCACGTAAAATGATGACGAAACTTTTGTACGGAAACTTTGCAAAAGGTTTTCTCGAATTAGAAAAAATGGCTTCAAGGAAGACCTTCCGGCACTTCCTCCACGCGAATTTTTTAAATGTTTTTCAAAAAGCTAAAATTGCACAAGCCGAGAGTTCAATTCCAAATTGAACTCGAAACCACATACATATACAAAATACAACCCACAATCCCACACTTTGCTCTAAACAAGGGCTATCGCTCGAAACGTCAACTTCACAACCTCGCTTCGGCGGTTAATTTACCTGAATCATAATAGCTAAGTGTTTGCTCGTATTTGGAGTGTTTTCGCATGACGTCACGGCAGCCATATTGGTGTCCCGAAACAATGAAATGGCGGCAATGTTGATGTACCAAGCCAATCCTGTGGGAGTTGAACTTTTACTCTAATGTAAACACTTTCTTTGTTCCAGTACATTTGTCAATTTTACAAGACCGATCGGATAAATTTATTGAGCAAGACAATATTTTAAATCCAGAACAGTTTGGGTTCAGACCAAACACTAGAACCACGGATAGTTTATTTATTCTCCGCCAACTACTCCATAAAAACACCAAACAACACAACAAGCTTTATGTTGGTTTTATTGATTACGAAAAAGCTTTTTATAGTGTATGGCAATACGGTATGATCCATAAATTATACAAATACGGAATTCAAGGAAAATTCTTGAATGTCATAAAGTCCCTGTATTCTTCAACTAAGAGTTGTGTTAATATTGACCAGAACACACTTACAGACCTATTTCCATGTAACAAGGGGATGATGCAAGGTGATGGTTTAAGTCCAGTTTTATTTTCTTTATTTATGAATGATTTACCGCGATATTTTGTACAGAACAAATGCCCAGGCGTGGTGTTAGGAAATCGATCTCTAAACTGCTTAATGTATGCAGACTGATGATTTGCTAGTAATCGGCCATTCTCGAGAAGGGTTGCAACAATTGCTTGATGTAATTCATAAACATGCTCAAGATTGAAAGCTCAAGGTTAACACCAAAAAGTCAAACATAATTATATTCAGTGGTAACGGACAAAACAAGAATAAGGTAAATTTTAAATATGACAGTGAAACTTTACAAATTGTTGCGAAACAAACCTTTTTAAGTATAGAAATGACGTCATCTGGTCGTTACACCTATGCAAGAGAAATTCTTAGCAAAAAAGCCATCAAAGTTCTCTCGATAATAAATCGATCTTTCTCTAACACGGATGATACAGCAACAATTACGATTAAGAACAAACTCTTTAATGCCCTGGTTAAACCCGTGTTACTTTACGCATGCGAAATTTGGGGACCGGAACTATCATCATACAAAACACCTTTTGATAAAAGTACAATTGAACAAGTTCGTATAAAGTTTTGTAAACAGTCATTAAACGTTCCATGGTATACAGAAAATATTGCTTGCAGAGCATAGCTTGGCGGTACCCTTTAAGCACGACATTAAAGCATCAATCTTCAGCTACTGGCAAAGATTGAAGCATTCCACCAACAACGTTTTGTTACCATAAGCATTTCGATATGTAACAAAACATACAACTTTATTTGACATTCAACAGAATGAAGAAATCAGTAAAAGGTGTGAAGTAAAAGAACCAGCAGCACGTCAAGAATGCACGATTAGTTATAAAGAAAACCCTCAGGTATCAATATTTACAGAACTGGCTTGAAACCCAGAATATGTCATCAACAAGTTCAAGAGAGAAATTTACACAAAAGGAAGTGACATTAATTACAAAGCCAGCACACAGAATTAGCCTGACAAAGCTTAGATCAGGATGTCATGCATTACGAATACAAACTGG